TTCAAAATGTACTACAAAGCTAAAGTATTTAAATCAGCACAGCTAGTTTCATAGAAACTAACACAGAAATAAAGGGAACCGAATAGAAAATCCAGAAATTAATCCATGTACAAACAGCCAACTGATTTTTGACAAAGGTGCCAAAAATTGGGGGAAAAAAAAACACAGACTCTTCAACAAATACTGCTGGTAAAACTAGACATAAATATGTAGAATAATGAAATTAGTTCTTCCACCTCTCACCATATACAAAAACCAACTTGGGATGGACCAAAAACATAAATTTAAAACCTGAAACAATGAAACTGCTAGTACAAAATGTGGAGGAAACACATCAAGACACTGGTGTAGGTAATTATTGTTGAGATAAGATCCCCAAGACATAGGCAACTGTGGGGAGCAACTCGGACTAGACTGTTAATGGAATTAAGACTTATTCTATGCATCTGCTTTCCCACAATATGGCGCTGAGAAGGGAGTAACAGCTTCTACACAGCTGCCTCCAGTTCAACCAATAAACTGTAGGACTTGCTCCTGATTGAAGGAGAGCAGTGTACTCGGCGTGTGGGTAGCAGAGTTGGGATTGGTGGAAGAGGACTATAAAGGAGGAGAGAGACAACATGCACCAGGAACACCTGAGGAACACCTGTGCAACACCTGTGCAGCCCCCGAGAGAGCCGGCCCGCGGTGTGCCGCTCCCCCGCGGAAGTGGGGAAAGTGGCAGGGGGAACCGCCCTCCCACGGAGGTGGAAGGGACGGTAGCCAACCCGCGAAGAACCAGCAGCAAACCCGGGGAGGGCCGAGCAGATGAAAGAACAGCGCAGGGTCCTGTGTCGTTCCTCTGCGAAGAGGGGGAACGACAGGCAACAAAAGCGAAACTAGACAAATGGGCTCATATCAAACTTAGAAGCTTCTGCATAGCAAAGGAAACAATCAATAGAGTGAAGATAGATTGGGAGAAAATATTTGCAAGCTAATTAGCCAACAAAGATTAACATCCAGAATATATCAGGAACTCAAACAACTCAACAATAAAAACAACCAATCCATTTAACAAATTATCAAAGGATCTCAATAGCCACGTATCAAATGAATTACAAATGGCCAACAAATATATGGAATATATGTTCAGTATCACTAGCCATCACAGAAATTAAAATTAAAATCCAAACCACATGAAGAATCACCTCCTCTCTGTTAGAATGGCTATTATCAAAAAACAGAAAATAACACATGCTGATGAGGACATGGAGAAATAGAAATATTTTTATACTGATGGTGGCAATGTAAATTAGTACAGTCACTACAGAAAACAGTATGGAGATTTATTTTTCCCAGAAACCTTTTATTTAAGGAATACAAACTTTATGCATTTCATAAATAAAATTTTAGGAACACAGTGATTCTACATAGTGATTCTTCCCACCATACATGCCCTCCCTCCCACACTCTCACCCCACTTCCTCCTCACTCTCCTATTCCCAAATAGATGTGCCATATGATCCAGCAATCCCTCAACTCAGTATATATCCAAATAACATGAAACCACTGTATCAAACAGGTGCCTGATCCACTATGCTTATTGCAGCTCTGTTCACAATAGCCAAGATATGGAATCAACCAAGGTATCCATCATCAGATGAATGGATAAAGAAAATGTGGTATGAAAACACAATAGAATACAATTCATATATATATATGTGTGTGTGTGTGTATTTGACAGGCAGAGTAGACAATGAGAGAGAGAGACAGAGAGAAAGGTCTTCCTTTACCATTGGTTCACCCTCCAATGGCCGCTTTGGCCGGCGCCTGTGGCTGGCGCACCATGCTGATCCGAAGCCAGGAGCCAGGTGCTTTTCCTGGTCTCCCATGTGAGTGCAAGGCCCAAGGACTTGGGCCATCCTCCACTGCACTCCCGGGCCACAGCAGAGAGCTGGCCTGGAAGAGGGGCAACCGGGACAGAATCCGGCACCCCGACCGGGACTAGAACCCGGTGTGCGGCACTGCAGGCGGAGGATTAGCCTATTGAGCTGCAGTGCCGGCCACAATTCAGATATTTAAAAAAAGAATGAAATATTGTCATTTGCAGTAACATCGATGGAATTGGAGGATATTATAATAAGTGCAATAAGTCAGACACAGAAATACAAACCACATTTTCCCTCATTTGTGAAAGCTTAATAATACAAACAAAAAGACATGAACACAGAACGCTGATTCATAGAGAATGAAATAAGTGGAGGTTATAGAGGGAGTTTGGATCAAAGGTACAAAATCAGAGTTACATCAAAGGAATGCATTCCCAGTGCTATGCAACATAGTAGGAAGGCTATAGTCCATAATAACCAGCCATATTTATATGAACAAATGGAAGAGAGATGCTCTAAGCCTCCAACCATAAAGTGACATCAAAAGAGGGGAACTGTTGAACATCACAGACTTGGATTAAAATGTCATGCTGTAGCCCATAACCATGTACATTAAAAATTTTTAATAAATAAAAGGTAGTAGGGTTAAACAGATTTGTTTGTACCAAAGAAAGTTAATTACTGAAAGTCATTTAGAAAATTAGTATTTTCTAGAAAGTGACAGAAGATTCTGTCCTCCCATACCACATTAATCATTTATTGGATAAAAAATAAAAGAAAGGTTCATTGGATTGGTAAGTGACCTATCCAAACAGTGCAACTAATATGACATATTGCAAGAAACTACTCAAAACCAATAGGTTACTTGCTACAGTGATAAATAATAAATCATTCCTACAGTTTTAAAGCATGAGTTGCAGTTTAGAATTAGGCTTGGAAGCTCTTCAAATGGGAAAATGAAATCAGCTGTTTTGTTTGACAGCTGAGTCATGCTGAATGATTTACCAACATGCATGGATATTTCAAAAGGCAATGGAAATTTGTACTGATGTAGGAGAAATATAGAACATAAACTTAAAAAAAAAAAAATCTCATGTTTTTACTATTGTATTCCAGCCTGCTCAGACTACATTAGGAGGTTGAGATTTGATATGTTAAATGTTCCTTGTAATTTCCCAAAAAGTGGTGTGTGTGTGTGTGTGTGTGTGTGTACAGATAGACGAACAGTGTGTGCTACTTTATTTGAACATGGAACCCTTTCTTCATGAAGCATCTTCATGAGCTAGTGATCTAAGCCCCAAATTCACAAGCACAGTAACTTAGGCCTATGGGAAGAAACAAGAAAAGCAGATGTGGATGAAATGCTAAGAAAGGTGAAGACTCAGGCTTACAAGGACAACACAGAAACCACATACGTGAAATAAGACTAACGGTACTTGAAGTATTTTTCCCAGGAAAAGAGAAGAACAAACCTTACAAAGAGACAAATGGCTCTCAGAAAAATGAGGAAAGGCATTTGTTATATATTGTTCTAGTACCTAGAGCAAAACAGTATCTGAGGTATAGCCCAGTTATGCATCTTTCAACACTCTTCAGGAGATTTTCACGCAGTCAGAGATTTCATCTAAAGGGCAGAAGTGGAACCCACAAGAGCCCAGAACAGCAAGCATGGTTGAATTTTCAGGAAGAACTACCTAATAATTAAAGCTTTTCAGTATCAAAGAGGTGATCGTGGCAAACAAAAAGTGAGCCGAAGCAAGCTCAGAGGCTAGAAATCCTCCAGCAGGAATACTAAAGACAAGTGTCTGCATGGATGAAGGAGATTGGACTCTGGGCTCTGAAAGTCACTTCCAACACTGCATTCTCAGTGGGCTGGACTGCAACCTCATGGTCACAATCACCCCTGAGTCTCAGGGACACTGAGCATGCAGAGCTCCTGGCACAGAGTGGCCTCCTCATAAATATTGGCTGACGGAATGAATAAATAATTGCACAAGTGAAAAATAAATGAAAGATATACCTGGTTCCAAAGTCAAACAAAAAGGGAATGGGCTATTTCTTCTCTGATGATCATTTTAAATTCCCTAATTGTAAATAAGAAGCAAAGCTACTTTAAAATAAGAAAAAATAATTTTGTCATCATTTCACTTCTTGGCTGGGAATCAACCCTGAATCAAAACACACCAAGGGGTTTTGTTAAGTTCCCCAGGTAAGTGTGTGAAAATGCTCTGCTGACTGTAAATGACCATCAGAAGTAAGGAGCGATTGTGATGATGGACAATCTACCTGACAGAAGACGACAATGCAGAGGGCTAGAAACCACCCTTGGAGATGAATCTGCTTTACAGCTACACTTCAGAAAATACCCATTAACCACACGCTTCATTTGTTGATTATCAGGAGGAGAATACACATATTATTTCTTCTAAAAATACCTTCAAAAATATGACAGTGTTCTGACGGAGCTGATGAATTCAGCTGTTTACAATTAGGCTTAAGCAATTTTCCTTTGGATACCAAATTCTTAACAAGGAATGTCTGCAAAGATGAACTTTTATCTTAAAAAGAAAAATTCTTAAAATAGAGATGGCTTTCATTCACTTGACTCTGGACAAGGACCACACTGTCAGGCACTGTATTTGTATCCATTTCCTAGAAGACAGAGCATTCTTTCAAAATGTATCTGTCATTTCTCCAGCAGTGTCTGATCAAACCTGCCCCTGAACAATGTTCTGAAGGGGCAACTTGTAGTGCATGCCTGGTTTATTTCTGTCAGACACTGACTGGTGAAGTGTGAAAGAAACTCATTAAAAATCTCGTACTGTGATCTTACACTGTAGAAAAAGGAAAGGGTAAAAAAAAGGAAAAAAAATCTAAGAAAGAAAAGGCAAGAAAAAAAAAACTTAATGAAGGATACACAGAGTCTGCAGACACACTCACATGGTTCGTTTTGTTCCTATTCTTCTTGAGCAAGCAATTAGAAGAATGCAATTAGTTATGGGAATACAGCTGGTTATTTGGGGAAATCAAAAAAGGGAACGATTCTATTTAATGTTAATATTATGAAACGTTAATGAAGGAGATCAGAGCACTGTACCACAGGAGAAACAACAGAACAGCAGCATTCTCTACCTTAATCTTAAGACGAGGTTCACGGCACAAGAAGCTTCTCTGTAGTCTTCACTAGCGTTGGGTTGGCCCTTTAAAAACAAGACAGCAAATGAGTTGTCAACTTTAGGGGGAAAGGAAAGAATAAAATTGCAATATATCTTGCACAAACATCTTTTTGTTCTGGAAATTTCCAGACTAGCTCTTCATACCTTCAGGTCGCGTTTGGCTTCAAAACTCCTCAATATGAAGGCTGAAATGAGGCCTATCTCCCATTACAATTGTGGACATGAAAGCTCACGTAGGAAGCCTGGCTGCAGGATGCATTCCAGGAACAGCTGGCGTGAGCTGCTGTCCCAAAGAGGCTCAGTGGCCCCTTCACTGAGCAATGAGCTGTCACTCACTAGGCCTTGCTGATGAACAAAGGGTGGATCCTGGCAACCTTAAGATGCACAGGGAGGTGGAACCCAGCAGATTAGGCAACATTTTTGAACATAGATTATCAACCACAAATACTTAGTGGTTACATGCTTACTGGCTCTACCCTAGGAGGAATCCCTGGACATGAGTAGACCTTGTTGGAACAGGGAAAATAAGAGATCTCAGATCAAGACTTGGCTCTGTCCTTGACCAGCTGTGGAAACCTGGGTGAGGCATTTGCTGAGCTTACTTTCCCATTTACAAAATGAGAGCCACATTTGTTTCAGTGGTTCCCAGGAGACTTAATTCATATACATGAAAGTGGGCCACACACAATAAAACATTTTACATAGAATACTCATTTTCCTCATCCCTTTTCCTGCTTCCTTTACGGTCTTTACTTTCTCACCCAGAGTTATTCCGGATTTCTGCTGTAAGTGGGTCACTCAGCCAATCCCTGCAGTTCATCTCAAGGTCTCTTACTGGGTTGCCAATACAGTGTAAAGACCTAAACTGAATTCTGGTTCAGTTGCTGACCAGTGGTGGGACCCTGAGTGACCCATTTAACCTCTGCAAGGCTTTGCTTTCTCAGCCATCAAACATGGCCCAGGACATAGCTGTCTGACCTCAGCGGGCTTCCGGCAACAATGAAATCCCATCCCTCTACTCAGTTCCCCAATATTTAGCTATTTTATAAAACAAAGATCTGGTCAAGTCAAAAAGAATTTAAATGGAGTGTGCATGTTCAGAAAACATATAATCCTATGGCTGGTGATACATGATGTAATCATTTGGAGAATAAAATCATTCACTGTACAGCAAGCTGGAATGTGAGCCCATGGTACGGCACTGGGTCCACAGTCCTTCCCTTGGATTGCTCAGCATCTTCCATTCAAACCCAACATGACTCACAGCACCCATCGACTGAACCGTAACTTTTGTAAATAAGCCACTATGAATGCATTTCACAACCACTGGGCTGTTGTTTCTACAAAGCAAGTTGTAGACATGAATTGGCTCATCAAATTCAATGATGAAAGAATTATGAAAAGAGGCTACAGAAATCTAACCAGGAATGAAAAAAGCAAAGTATCAATTAACTGCAGTGTTGGGGGCCTGGGACATAGCAGAGTGGAGTCACTTGATTTGCTTTGCTTATTTTCCACAGGACCAGCAACTTCAGAAGTGGTCCGTTCATCAACCCTTGCTCCCGCACCTATCGCTTCCTGTAAAGCACAGTCAACAGAAACAGCGCTCTTTCCCCATGTCTATCGAAAAAGGGAGCTCTCATGCCCCCTGATGGGAAGGTACTGCCCTGAAATGGTCTACCTTTCTGAAATGCTGGGTTTTTCAAAAGATCCGTCTACAGAGCAGCTCAGAAACAAATCGCCAGCAGAGGCGCATACCTGAGAGTCGCGCACGGAGAGGGACTGGATCTGCTCGGGGATGCCGCCTGCATTCACCGCCACCTGTGGAGAGAGTCACCGTTAACAGCTCTCACCGAGGCTGCGAGGGGACATCCTGATCACGGAGGTCCCTGTTTTCAGAGACAATAATTTTCAAAGGATCTTAAAGCTGTAGTTCCCCAAAGGGGAGCCTTTGACCACTGCAGTGCAATCACCAGCACATGCATTAAAGACTCCTGGGCCACACCCAGACATGGAGATGGTAGAGAATCTGCATCTTTGACAACATCCCTGGATGATCATTATGCTTTTAGGGAACCACTGAGATGATGTGAGAAACAGACTTAAATTATTCAGTAATTTAAACTTGGTCCAGATAGATGTCCTAGGACCATTTTTCCTTGCTGCATAATTCCATCTAAAGTTAAGGGAACCTTGGGGCTGGCGCTGTGGCGTAATAGGCTAAGCCTCCACCTGTGGCGCAGGCATCCCATACAGGCACCAGTTCATGTCCCGGATGCTCCACTTCTGATCTAGCTCTCTGTTTATGGCCTGGGAAAGCAGTAGAAGATGGCCTAAGTGCTTGGGCCCCTGCAGCTGCCTAGGAGATCTGGAAGGAACTCCTGGCTCCTGGCTTCGGATCCACCTGGCTCCGGCCGTTGTGGCCATTCGGGAAGTGAAACAGCAGATGGAAGACCTTTCTCTCTGTCTCTCCCTCTCTCTGTAACTCTTCCTCTCAAATAAATACATAAAATCTTTAACAAAAAAAGTTACGAGAACTTTAATGAAATGATGTTAGGGTTAGTAAATCCCATCCTTTCAATCATTACTTTCAACAATTATTTATTGCATTTTGAAAACATAGCAGGGTTACTGGGTGTTAAAAGAGTATTTCCCCAGTAGGAACACCAAAACGTTAGGTTATTTTTTTCTCTCAAAGTAAGAAAACAGTCCCTAGTGGGATACCCAAATTATTTTTTCCTCAAGCCCTGCTTCTGTGAACTCTGCCCTGGAGTACAACTTGAAAGACAAAGAACTCAGAGCAACATCGACGAAAATGAAAGAAAAGGGGTCTCCTGCTTCTAAACTTACCATCAGTTCTAAAATAATCAGAAATTATCAGAAAACCTTTGTGGCAAGAGTTAGCTAAAGTTTAAGAGTGTAGAATTCTTACTCTCTGTGTGCTTCTTTAAAAATAACTATGTTAGTACTGAAGTAATAGAAGTGTGCCGATGTCTGCCATTTGCAGACATGAAGAAATGGGTACCTTGGTGATAGAGCAAGCACAGTAACAGAAGCCAGCGATGAACTTACAGTGTTCACTGCAAAATGTCTGAATAATGGTGTATTTTTGAAAATATTCATAATAAAACGTTGGGGGGGGATGATTATGTGAGAAAAACCACCAACGTGTGTCCATCAATGAGCCAGAGAGTCAGGATCTAAACCAAATGCCTCTTGCAAAGAATCTTTCCCTCGAACTGATTTCACAGTCTGAATTGACATTACAGATACAACCAGAGACCACTTATAGCACGTTCCACCTTTAGTCAAAGACAGGGGCATCCAAAAAATCTTAGTGACATTTTCTCAGAGGAGACACTGTCTCTTCCATGCACTGTTCAGTCATCAAGACGGAAGCAATGCAACTGGACTAGGGGCTGGAACTCCACATACACACTGCAATCCACTGTCGTGTGTACCCTGCATGTAATAAAAAGACCAGCCCCAACTAACACTGTAGTCCCTCAAATGTCACCACCGTGTACTCACTCTTTGGGATTAGGGCATAGCATTTTGAGTATATACTTTTAAATTGAACACTTCCAAGAAAAATAACACATTAAGCAGCTGTCATTCATCGACAGTACCTGCACATGTATCACATTTTTTTTTTCAATAGTTTGCTATAAGAAGGTCATTTGAGAAAATGGGTGTTTTGATGGGAAAGGGAGAAAAAACATACAATAGTGCTGGACACTTCCCTGGAGAAAGACCTCAGCAGGGATCTGGGATAGGAGAGAAGCGAGACAAATATCTTCGAATGAAAGAAGAGACAACATCTGTCTCCCAATTTTTCATAGAACTATGCATAATCTCATTTTCTATTAAAAAACAAACTGTAGCTAATTCAATGTTTAATCTTGAATTGGATCCTAAATAGAAAAAAGAAACAGTGGAAAAACTAGTGAAATCCGAATAAATTCAGAGGTTTGGTTAATAGGTATGAAGTAGTACTAATGTCTGAGCTGTGATGTGTATCAGAGTAACATACAAAACCAACAGTAGGGAAATCAGGTGAGTAGTATATGGGAACTCACTGTCTTAGTAAAATGTATTCTCATAAATACAGTGGATTTCTGATCACAAATCTTTTTTTTTTTTGGCTTTTGGTTCTGGCTTATTTCACTCAACAGGGTGCCTCCACATCCAACCATTCTGCTACACATGACAGGTTTCATTTTTTTTATGCTGAAAAATATTTCATTGTCTATATATACCACATTTTCTTTATCCATTCATCTGATGATAGACACCTTGGTTGAGTCCATATTTTGGCTATTATGAATAATACTGCAATGAACATGGTAAAACAGGCATCTGTTTTGATACAGAGATCTTGTGTCTTTTGGATGTATACCCAGTGGTGTGGGATTGCTAGCTCATATGGTCAGTCCACTTCTCGTTTTCTGTTTTGCTTAGATTTAATCTCCGTACTGTTTTCCACCATGGCTGCTCTAATTTAGATTCCCACCAACAGTACAGAAGAGTTCCCCTTTCTCAGCATCCTTGCCAGCATTTGTTGCTCTTGGTCTTTTTGATAACAGCCATTTCGACAACAGTATGGTGATACCTCAATTTGGTTCTAATTTGCATTTTTCTGAGGCCTATTGATACTGAGAAACTTTTCATGTATTAGTTGTCCATTTGCACTTCTTCTTAAGAAACTATCTGTTCAGGTCCTTTGCCAATTTCTTAACTGGCTAGGTTGTTTTTTGTTTGAGTTTTTTGAGTTCCTGATACATTCTGGATACTAATCTTTATTGGATAATTAGCTTGAAAATATTTTCTCCCACTCTGTCAGCTGTCTTCTCACTCTGTTGATTTGTTTTCTGTGCTGTGCAGAAGCTTCTAAATTTGATATAATCCCGTTTGTCTGGTTTTGTTTTTGCTGCTTGTACTTTTAGGATCTTACGCAAGAAGTCATCATCAACATCAATGCCTTGGAGTGTTTGTCCCATGTTTTTTCTATAAATTTCACACAGTGTCAGGTCTTACATTAGGGTCATGACCCATCTTGAGTTGATTCTTGTGTACAGTGTGTTTTTCTTCTACATTGATACATCTAATTTGTCAGCAGCATTTATTAAAAAGACCATCCTTTCTCCAATATATGTTCATGGAACCATTGGCTGTATATATATATAGATTGATTTCTGTGCTCTGTATTCTATTCAACTGATCCATGTGTTGGTTTTTATGCCTCTACTATGCTGTTTTAATTACTTTAGCTTTGTAGTATGCTTTGAAATCAGATACTGTGATACCTCCAGCTTGAGTTTTCCCTCTCAGGATCACTTCAGCTATTCTGGGTCTTTTGTGATTCCATATAAATTTTAGAATCATTTCTCTAATTCTGCAAAGAATGACATTGGTATTTAAAAAGGGATTGCACTGAATCTATAGATTACTTTAGGCAGTACAAACATTTTAATAACATTAAGTTTTCCAAACTACAAGCATAGAGTATCTTTTCCTTTTTTTGTGTATCCTGGATGACTTCTTTCATCAATGTTTTGTAGTTTTCCTTATGGAAATATTTCATTTCTTTGATTGCATCTGCTCCTAAATATTTTATTTTTTTACAGCTTTTATGAATGGGATGTCTTTCTTGATTTCCCTTCCAGTGAGTTCATTCATTATTGCTGCACAAAAATACTAGTGCTTTTATTTTGTATCCTGCAACTTTACAGATCCTGTTTATCAGTTCTAAAAGCTGGTTCGGTGCCGTGCTTAGGTTTTCCTCTGTATAACATCACGTTACCTGCAAATGTGGATATTCTGACTTCCTCCTTTCTAATTCTGATGTCCTTCATTTCTTTCTCTGTCTTAATTCCCCTTGATAATACTTCAGATACTGTATTGAATGTGTGTGGTAAAAGTGAACATCTTTGCCTTGTTCCATATCTGTGGGGAAACGCTTTCAACTTTTTCCCATTCAGTATGATATTGGCTGTTGGTGACATATACAGCCTTAATAATTTTGATGTATGTTCCTTCTATACCTAATTTGTTAAAAATTTTTATCATAAAGGAAAGTTGAATTTATCAAATGTTTTATCTACACCAACTGAGACAAAAATAAGATTTTGTTCCTCATTCTGTTGATGTGATTTATGTTTATTGATTTTTCAAATGTTGTCACCCTTCCATCTCTGAGATAAATTGTACTTGATTGTGTCATTATGATCTTTTTGACAGAGTAAATTTGGTTTACTAATATCTTGCTGAGAATTTTTACATATGGTCATCAAGAATATTAGCCTACCGTTTTCTTTTTGTATAATGCCTTTGTGTGGTTTTGGTATCACAGTGATGCTGGCCTCATAAAAAAGAGTTTGGCAGAGTTCTACCCTTTTCAATATTTTGGAATACATTCCAACATATTAATAGTAGCGGACTTCAACATCCCACTGTCATCAATGTACAGATCACCCAGACAGAAAATTAACAAAGATACATCAGAGTTGAACCGAATTATAGCACAAATTGACCTAACAGACATTTTCAGAACATTTCACCCAACAGCTACAGAATATACAATTATTCTCGGCAGCACATAGATCATTTCCTAGGAAAGACTATACAATAAGCCACAAATCAAGTCTCAGCAAATTTAAAAAGACTAAAACCACACCTTGCATATTCTCAGAACACAAAGGAATGTGACTAGATATCAATAACTAGAAGAATGACAGAATTCACAGATACACAGAAATTAAAGAACCTGCTAGCAAGTGACCAATATATCACTGAAGAAATTACAAAGGAAATTTTAAAAG